TTTAATAGTTTTCATACCAGCTTGAACTTAGTGATGAGTTGAAGAAGAAGAGAAAAGAGAGAAGAAAGAAATGAGAATAACTTATCTTTATAATATGAAAATAGAGAATTGCTGCAATCATTCTTTCTAGTAACAAAGATCTGTTTTCTGCATGTATCTCTGATATAGATTATATAATAAATGTATATAAAGAATATCAATAGTGCATGCATTGAATGAAGATAATGTTGCTATACAACACTGTAGCTGTTTCTGTACATCTCTGAAAGCTGTTAATAGTTTCTTTGTCTCTTTATATTTAATAAGTCAATAATATATTTTAATGCACTTCTTCTTTCATCATCATCATTATCATCATCATTATCATTATTATCATCATTATCATCATCATCATTATCATCATCATTATCATCATTATTATATCATTGCCTGCCTTCACTTCTCTTCTCAACACTTATCAAAATCAATCATGTCATCTCTCTTCAAATATTCTGCAGTTCTGCGGATCATCAAGGCGCATGAGCACTGTCACAGATTGAAGAAAGAGAAGAAGAAGATGTTCAAGTGTGAAGAGACAGATTGTAAGATATGTTATAATGTCTTGAAGAGACTCTGCAAGAGAGCAGAATGATAATAATTTTAAGTAACACTTCTGATAAATTTAGACTGAACTAAGTATAGAAATAATGCAGATAACATCATCTGTGAGAGATTGAAAAAGAAGACAGTGAAGAGTCTCATACAGCAGTGATGAGACTAGAAGAAGTTCTGAGAATGATTTAAAATCAAGATGAAGAGAGAGAGAAAGCAGAAGAGTGTTACTGTAAATAAGTGATGATAGAAGAAGATTGAGAAGATATTAGAGTGAGAGACAAAGAAGTCAAAACTGATAAGTTTTTATTAAGAGATAATGATTTTTGATAATACTTCTGTTCTCTAATTGATTAGCAGGAGCTGGCAGAGAAGAAGGGGATTGAGGCCTTGTTCAGGTCTCAAATGCACTCCATGATCCAGAATATTGAGGAGACAGCCCTGCTCTCTGAGCATGTCAATCTGCTTACTGCTGAGATGAAACCTGAGACAGCAGACCAGAAAATGCGGGATTTTGAGGCACAGGTTGACCTGACTGAGAAGAAGCAGCAGAAACCCTTCTCTGAGAAGACAGTGAAGAAAGATTTTAAGATGATTATCATCTCAGATGAGGAGAAGGAGAAGAAGAAGGAGAAGAAGAAGAAGAAGAATAAGAAGTGAATTATAAAGAATGATAAGAAGAATGAGAAAGAGAAGAAGTAGATTTTTTTCTTTTTATATTAGTTAGTTATAAGTTTAAGTTTTTAATTATTAATAATTAAAATTGATTTTGAGTTTTCAAAAATTATTATACAAGTTGTAATCAAGTCAGGAATGATATATATATATATATATATTTAACTATCATGATTCACAAATCACTATAATGTATAAGTATCAACATTTTTTCAACATTGATATTCATAATATTAATATATTTTTAATGATATTATCTGATAATGTAATTTGATAACACTCTCTTTCATAATATTAATATATTTCAAGAAATATGACAGAGATTAATCAAGATTGTTTATTTACTTTTATACATCAATGATATTCAATCTGAGTTAGTACTAAAATTATAACTAAGCTAAGAAACAAGATTATTTTCTCTTATATTAATTCTTCTTACACACATCAGTGATCAGTTATTGAAAATAAATTATCATCTTTCTCAAATTATTATCATATCTTCTGAATTCACTTCTTTCACTTCTTTTACTTTTATTGAAGATTCATAAACTCTTCAAGAAATCACTGTGAATTACAAAGTCTAT